CCCCTCCCCTTGCTGACCCTGCCCTACCCACCTACTCTACTCCACTCCACTCCACCCTCTTGCACTCATCTCACAAACCCACCTTGTCCGTACTTCCTCTTGCCTCACAACTCCAAGCTGTAGCCCTATCTCACTCGCCTGCCTGCTGCCTCACTCTGTGTTTTGCTCCAACAGGTGTTGGGATTCGAGGTGGACTTAGTGAACTCGGTCCAGTTTTCCAACCATACAGGTAAGAAACAAATATCAAACATCGTTGCCTCAGTGTTCACATCTCTGCTATTGTACATCCCTCAATTTCTTCAGTAAATCACAGTAGGAGAGCAAATAAAGGAAAGCTTCTTTGAAAACCGAGACAAATGATCTCGTGCAGCCTGAATCCGATTCTGAATTGATGCTCGCTGGGGAACAGGGTCCCCCACACAATGACGCTTGCTGGGGTGTGCATATGTCAGCACATCTCTGTAATTTACCCACTCATTATTCTAACTGACCTTGAGAAGAATAACTGGCTGTCTCGAGGAGGCCCCTTTGCCATGTGCTGCAGTTACGGCTGAGCTTTGTCGACAGTGATAATGAGCAAGTGTAAAGTCCTCATCATATCAGTGCCTGTGTTTTATCATGATCTGTGCATAATTGACTGGAATGGCTGAACGTCACATTAGACTCTGGCTGAGCCTGCGCCTAACCTCCAGCCTGTTGCCATCTGACTCTTGTACAATGTCCATTTCCATTCTGGTTGAAGAAGCAGCAGTGCAATTTTGACCGCACAGTAATGGTACCAGTTACGGGTGTCACTTTATCTGAAATGCTTTCATTGGTCTCTTCTTTAATTGCTCTAATGTTTAGTTAAGAGCAGTAATAAAAAGATCAGCACCATGAGAGAGCAGGCTACTGAGCTAAAGCTCTGCTGTGTGGAGGTTGCCTTGCTTCTTTCTTGTCGAGTGTCTAATACAAGTCTCTGTCATGTGGGCTATTAGAATGTAGGGACTCTTTACTGAAGGTGCAAAATATAGACTTCATTTATGGTAACAATCTCAGCATCTTCCAATATGACAGGTCTGTGGAAACCTGGAAGTGTATCTCCAGCAGTTTATGGCAAAGTGTGTACTAACATGTTGCTTGATGTACAAGGCTCTAGCACACTGGCAGCAGGTATTGTGCAGTTATCTGCTTCTCTTAGGAAATATCAGAGTATCTGTGTCCACTTCCCACAATGTTAGCACTATTTTTAAATAACAGAAAGCTATTCATACTTGCTGGCTCCACCTGAAATTTTAAACGTAACCTACATGCTGCAGAATAAGTAGACCCTAACTAACCAGGCCACTCTATAAGGGGAAATGTAGGTGTACGGTGCAGGGTTGTGCCTGTGTGCTGCTGTCTCCCTCTGGCCTTGACCAGTTTTTGGTGAAGGTACCAATGATTCTGATAAAATGTGTGTCAGAGTCCAGATGGCCTAATAATCATTGAATGATAGATACAGAAAGAGGCCATTCAGCCCATTGTACCTGTACTAGCCTTCTGGCATAGGGGCCCTGAATTGGGACTGATTGCTGTTTTGGATCTTTTGTCCTGTCTTTCCTTTTCTATTCACTTGCTACCTACTGTGCTATGGGAATTGCCCAGAGCCAACATTGGCAGCATATTACAAGATAGACATTTCTGCAACTATCACACAGTAAAGAAGGTTCTGCAATAGCATCAGATCTCAACTAAGGATCCTACAAACAGTTGTGGAAGGTCACACAGGGGCCCAGGATCTTGAGGTGTCAAACAGCAGACAATAATGCCCTTGCCTCAATTGCACTACGGGTGGAAGTTTTCTCTAATTAACAGAGGCCGACAGCTGCTATTGGCCTGAAAGCAAACCTACAAGTTTATGCTGAGCCAAAGGAAAAGATGAGAATCAGTCATTTGTTTTACCCATTAATACAAACTAAGTTACTACAACACCTCCGAAAGCACTGTGCGCTGTGTGTCCTGCCAGTCCCAAGCACTGCTGTGTTTGTGTTTCAGGGTATGACTACTGGAAGGGACAAACCATGACAGCAGAAGAACTGCAAACACTGTATGAAGGACTCCAACTGAATGATGTAACTCGCTATGATTATGTCTTGACAGGTAAGTGCTGATTATATCCTGAGGGTAAGGGTTAGTGCAACTGATTTGTTTTACTCTGTATCTAACCCCGTAGTGTGCCTGTCCTGAGAGTGTTTGATGGGGTACAATGCAAAGGGTGCTTTACACTGTATCTAACCCTGTGCTGCCCCTATCCTGGGAGTGTTTGATGGGGGACAGTGTAGAGGGAGTTTTAAATTTTTTGCATGTCCCATCAGTTCTTGTGCATCCTGGCATGCTGTTTGTACTCCCTAGCTGGCCATGTCTAGGTGTGTAGCTGTCTGTGGGAGGTGAGATGTGAGCCTCCCAGCTCTCGAATTCCTTTACTAGTGAATGATACACTCTGTATGTTTATAAGGTTACACCAGAGACACTTCATTTCTGGATAAGGTGATGGAAATTATTCAGGAGCTGAGGAGACAGAACCCCAAACTGGTTTATGGTGAGTCTGACCTTGAATGCTGTGAGGTTGTCGATTGGTAATATGCTGTAGAAAGCTGCTTTTGAGGCTTTTATCTAATCTCTCTGGCAATGCCTATAGCTCACAACCTTTACTCTTGAATTGTCTGATTTTTGCATGAACTGATAGTTGAGGTTACAGTTTGGTTATCACTCCCAGTTATCTTTGTTTTCAGAATCAGAGCTGCTGACTTGAATTGTATCTGTCAGAGAGGGAGAGCCCTTCAGTTACTTTGCTGTCTTGTAGTATTGGGGACTGTGCTTGGCACTGAGATTCTTTGACATTTAACCTCAGATTGTACTGTAAATAACAAGTGTGGGATGGGTGGGTGGATCAGCTCTGCATTTGGAGTTAAGTTTGTTAAATCATACAGGGATACAGCACAGGAATCCATTCACCTCGTGCCTCTTTTAGCTCTCTGAAGCAAATATTCAATTAGTCCCACTCCCCTGCGCTGTCCACAGGCTGTGTAACTATAAGGGAAGGCAGTGGCATAGTGTGAATGTCCATAGACTAGTAATCCAGAATCCCAGGTTAATATTCCGGGGATGTGGGTTCATTTCTCACCGTGAGAGATAGTGAAATTTGAATCCCAAAAAATCTGGAATTTAAAAGCTCGTCTGGTGACCAGATAACCACACTCAATTGCTGGAAGATCCGACCTTTGGTCACTATCCTTTTTAGGGAAGGAAATCTGCTATCTTGACTAGGTCTGAATTACATGTGACTCCAGACCCACAATGTGGTTGACTCTTAGCTGCCCTCTGAAACAAACAAGCCAGCAGTCAAGGGCAAGTAGGGATGAGCAATAAATACTGGTCTAGTCAGTTGCACCTGTGAATAATTTTATAAAAATCCATGAAGTACTTTTCCTATTCCTTTCTTTTGTCTGCTGCTGCTGATCTTTCAAGCAGTGTATTCCAGACAACAACCACTGTACGTAAATGATTCTATGGTGTCCTGTGGTCCATGCCCCTGTTAAACCATCTCTAGTCCACTCGGGCAAATCTCCTGCACAGACCCTCCAACAATGCACCCTTCCTAAAACATGGCACCCAGAAATGAAGACAATGCCCTGGCTGGGATCCTCTCAGTTTCAGCATCGCTTCACGGCCTGGCATAGTAAGGGATCCAAGGATGAGAGCCTTAGGGTGACACTGATCATTGCAGTTCATTTGGGAACAGGATCTGAGAGCGAGTTTGGGGGGTTGGCGGAGGTAGGGAGCAGAGAAAGATCGTCTTTTAACGTAAATAATTGCTAATTAATGTAAATGATTATTTCCTTAATTCTTTTCCAGTCTGTGACCCTGTGATGGGTGATAAAAGGAATGGGGATGGATACATGGTGAGTGACTGATGCATGTCTCTCTCTATCTCTCTCTCTCTCTCTCTCTCTCTCTCTCTACCTCTCTACCTCTTGTGTCCAGTGGATATTATTTTGCTGAATGTCTTGTTCTGCCCGTAGTATGTTCCGGAAAATCTTCTTCCAGCTTACAAAGAGAAAGTGGTCCCCCTCGCTGACATCATCACTCCAAACCAGTATGAAGCAGAGTAAGTGTTGTTAATTGCAGCTTCTGAATTCTTGCCCCCATAATACAGCCACAGGGAGGGAGTAAAGTGTCTCCTGTGGCTCTTAGTGATCAGTGTGGTCTTCTAATGGCTGCCATTCTCTGTCTCCTGTTGAAGGAGGAGATGCTGATGGGAATGATTCTTCAACATCTTCAGGGCAGCTGTTGAGCTGAATGGTTAGTGTTCAAAACTTGATCCACACACCAAGCTCACCTTGCTGTATGACAGAGTTATTTTTTATCAGCAGCCTGGTTCCAACACTTCCCCAGACAGGAGTAACTGCAGGGGTTTGTCGTACGTAGAGTACCAGCTCATGCTCATTCCTCGAACAATGCTCATGTGGAATGAGATACAGAAATATTTGTTGCAAGGTTAGAGAAACATTGCACAGAGTCCTGGAATATCTCCCTTATCGAGTAGTCAGAGCAGGTGTCCTTGTTGGAAATAAAATTTTTGGGAAATATTGCAGGGTTTGGAGTATGCGGGTCAAGGTTGGATATGTTGCACAGGGTCATATTAGGGAGGGGGAAATTAGAAATACAGTTTAAAAAGAAACTGAAGCAAGTGTGAGAGAGAGAGATCCAAAGGGGGCAACAGAGAGAGAGTCAGGAAAAAAGAAATGCAGAGAGAGAAAATCAGAGACTGATGGACAAAAGAAATGAAACGAGACAGATAGTGGAGTTTGTGAAAAATTTGAACTGACTGAGTGCACAATCCTGACTCTGATATTTGCTGTTTTGTCTTTTGAAGAAGTAGTTTGTAGTAAATTTAATTGCAGTTTGACTCTTCCATTTTCAGAATTCTTGCAGGACGGAAGATGAATACAGAAAAGGAGGCAATTGAGGTAACTGCAACAACTGTTAAATGGTTCAGATCCAGAGTGGATCTGGAAGTGCCAACTGTTAAGAGAGTAAATTAAGGGCCTCCTGCAATGTTTAAATATAAAATAAAAAGCCACAGCAATATTTCTAAAAGCAGAGTCTGCCTGAGCAAATGCTGACCTCTCAAACAACACCCAAAATAGATCATCATCACCTCCCTTCTTTTGGCAGCATGTACTCAATGAATTGGCTACCATACTTTTTCACATTGAAACAGAAACTGCACTTGAGAGAATGCTTAATTGACTATAAATTTTTTTAGGACTTTCTGAAGTCAGCAAACGTGATTTTAAAAATTTAAATCCTTCAGTCATCAGTCAGACTTGACTCAAGCACAGAATGCTGGAGAAATTCAGCAGGTCTGGCAGCATCTGTGGAGTGAGAAACGGTTAATGTTTCAAACTCCCAGTTCTGAAGATACAGTAAAGTTTCTTCTATACTGTCCCCATTAAACACTCCCAGGATAGGTAGAGCTCTTGTCGGTTTGAGATTAGTGATTGGATCTGTGTGTGTGTTACAGGTTATGGATATTCTCCATGCAATGGGCCCTGACACTGTGGTGATCACAAGCTCTGATCTCCCCTCTGCTCTGGGGGACAATTACTTGGTGACCCTTGGCAGCCAGAGAAAGGGTGAGTGCGAATGTCCATTATCAGGGATTGTTTGAAATAAACTAATGCTGTCAATATAATTATCTGGATTTGACACTGCTCGGTTTGCATGAAGCCTGAGTATTTATTGTGTTCTGTGCCTAGTGCTGTAGTGAGACTTGAATCCAGAATATTCCATACAGTCCGGTCTGACAGTTCCTGGGCAGTTGGAGTGTTGTCTTTTGTCATGGACGTTGAAAAGAGAGCCCCAGCTCCTTGAGCCTCTTCTGTTTTTCGTGGGAAACTTTGAAAACATAATGTTGAAACAAGGCCCATACCTTCCCTCAAGTTTTATGTTTTAAGGAAAAATTCAAGGGCATTTTTGTAAAGCAGGGAAATTTTCCCCAATATTCATGCTAGTATTTATCCCTCAGTCAACATTCCCACAATAAATTGTCATCTTTTTAATTGATGGGATGTGCAGTCCTGTGGCTGGGCAGTCTTTAACATGCATCCCCCAGTTGCCCCTTGAGAAGGTAATGAACTTCCTGAGCTGCTGTGGTCCGTATGGTGTAGGTGCACATGCAATGCTGTTCAGAAGGGAGTCTGCCTACATGCACCTAAGGTGCAGTGACCACCTGTAATCATGAGGTATATGGACTAAGGGCAGGCAGGAGGGATTAGTTCAATTTGGTGTCATGTTCGGCACAACACTGTGGGTGGAAGGGCTAGTTCTCGTGCTGTACTGTTCTATGTTCTCTATGTTTTAACTCTCAGCCGAACTAGTACACCATACCGACTATAGCTACTGTGTGAGTTCCAAAATCTGGAACTTGAATTTCCATAGCCAGTGACAGTTCCTGCAGGGGAAGTGTCCATGATTCAGAAGAATGAAGGGGATCTTGTTGAAACATATAAAATTCTAACAGTACTAAACAGTATAAATGCAGAATGGATGTTCCTGAAGGTGGGGGATGTTCGGAATCATAGGTCACCGTATAAGGATATGGGTTTGCCTGTTTCGGACTGAGATGAGGAGAAATTTCTTCAGGCAGAGTGGTGAACCTGTAGAATTCATTACCACAGAAAGTGGTTGAGGCCAAATCATTGAATGTTTTCAAGAGGGAGTTGGATATAGTTCTGAGTGCTAAATGGATGTGGGGAGAGAGTGGGAACGGGGTACTGAGTGGGATGATCAGTCATGATCATATGAATGAATAAGAGAATGACCAGAGAAAGGGTAGGGCAGATCAAGGATTATAAAGGGAATTTGTGCACGGAGCCTAAAGAGATAGGAGAGGTCCTTTAATGAATACTTTTCTTCGGTATTCACAACTGAGAGGGACCTAGTTGTAGGGGAGGACAGTGTGAAACAGCCTGGTAGGCAAGAGGAGGTAGAAATTAGTAAGGAAGATATGCTAGGAATTTTGAGGAACTTGAGGATAGATAAGTCCTCTGGGCCTGATAGGATTTATCCAAGGATTCTATGGGAAGCGGGGGAAGAGATCGCAGGGCCTTTGGCGATGATCTTTTCGTCCTCACTGTCCACGGGTATAGTGCCGGAAGATTGGAGAGACGCAAACATCATTCCCTTGTTCAAATAAGGGAACAGGAATAACCCCGGAAATTACAGGCCAGTTAGTCTTACTTCAGTGGTGGGCAAATTATTGGAAAGGGCTCTAAGAGATAGGATTTATGATCACTTGGATAGGCACAGTTTGATTCATGATAGTGAGCATGGATTTGTGAGGGGTAGATCATGCCTCACAAACCTTATTGAATTCTTTGAAGAGATGATCAAACACGTGGATGAAGGTAGAGCAGTGGATGTGGTATACATGGATTTAAGGCGTTCGATAAGGTTCCCCATGGTAGGCTCATGCAGAAAGTAAGGAGGCATGGGATGGGGGAAAATGTGGCAGATTGGATTCCGAATTGGCTGACCCTTAGAAGACCACCCGCAGGTGGTAGTGGACGGAAAATATTCAACATGGTGCTCAGTTACGAGTGGTGTACCACAAGGATCTGCTCTGGGTCCTCTTCTATTTGTGATTTTTGTAAATGATTTAGATGTAGGAGTGGAAGGGTGGATTAGTTCGCGGATGATATGAGGGTCGGTCAAGTTGTGGATAGTGCAGAAGACTGTTCTAGGTTACAATTGGACATTGATAGGATGCAGAGCTGGGCTGAGAAGTGGCAGATGGAGTTTAATCCTGAAAAGTGTGAGGTAATTTATTTTGGTAGGACAAACTTGAAAGCAGAATACCAGGTTAACGGAAAGATTCTTGGCAGTGTGGAGGAGCAGAGGGATCTTGGGGTTCATGTCCACAGTTCCCTGAAAGTTGCTACCCAGGGATAGAGTTGTTAAGAAGGTGTATGGTGTGTTAGCTTTCATTAATAGAGGGATTGAGTTCAAGAGCCATGAAGTTATGCTCCAGCTATACAAAAGCCTGGTTCGGCCACATCTGGAGTATTGTGTCCAGTTCTGGTCGCCTCATTACAGGAAAGATGTGGAAGCATTGGAAAAGGTGCAGAGGAGATTTACCAGAATGTTGCAAGGAATGGAAGGAAGGTCTTACGAGGAAAGGTTGAGAGATCTAGGGCTTTTCTCTTTAGAATGATGAAGGATGAGAGGTGACTTGATAGAGGTGTACAGAATGATCAGAGGTATAGATAGAGTGGACAGCCAGAGACTTTTTCCGAGGGTGGGGGTAGTTATTACGAGGGGGCATAGTTTTGAAGTGAGTGGAGGTAGATATAGGGGAGATGTCAGAGGTAGGTTCTTTACTCAGAAAGTGGTAGGGGCGTGGAATGCATTGCCGGAGAGGGTAGTGGAGTCGGCCTCATTAGGGGCATTTAAGCAGCTATTAGATAGGCATATGGATGATAGTATAAGGTAGGGGTGGAGGTTAGATAGACCTTAGGTTTAGCGTAAAAGTTCGGCACAACATCATGGGCCAAAGGGCCTGTACTGTGCTGTACTGTTCTATGTTTTATGTTCTACTGGCAGAGCAGGCTCAAAGGGCTGAATGTCCTACTCCTATTTTCTATGTTTACGTGGATGACCTGAAATTCCTTCTGTTGTGCCATAAGATCCTGTCAATCTCGTCTCCAATGTTAACAGTTTCTGGCTCAGTCTCTGACCTTTGAGGTAAATTCCACAGATTAACTGTATGAAGAATTTCTTCTGCTTTCTGTTCTAAATCTCTTTACTTTTGTCTCTCAGGCCCCTTGCTTTAATACCTGAGAACAATGTGCTTCTACCTCTCTATCCCATCCTTTCCCAATTGTGTTACTCCTGTCATTACTGTGATCTGCATGGCTTTTCAGAAAAAACGAACTTCTGTTTTGTTTATATTTCTTCATAGGCAGTGAATCTGTGCTGCTCTCTCCTGAAATCCTCAAATTCTTCAAGTATAAACTCCAATACTCCACGTAGCACTATTACTGAGAGCAGAATAAATAAAGTACACAGGCTGTGATCATTTTGGTTTTTACATTCAATAATACTTTGAATAACACCTAGAGTTTTGTTAGCTTTTTTTGTATTCACAGTTTCAGCGATGAGAGATGCTGACTTTAATGTCCTGTGAACCTGTCCATGGGTCCCTCTCACCTATGTTCCTGTGTGTACACTGTGGCATTCATCCTTTTACTGTTATGATCAGTGATCGCAGGTGGTTCTCGAGTGACTGAGCGAATCCGGATGGAGATTCCAAAGGTGGATGCTGTGTTTGTGGGGACAGGGGACTTATTCGCTGCTATGCTTCTGGCTTGGACACATCAGCATCCCAACAACCTGAAGGTAGGATTCACATCACTGATAACTTGCAACAAAAAAATAGACCTGGAAAAACTGACATTACTGGAATGGTGGTAATCTGGGTGTGGAATTGAATTAGAGCCAGGAGACAGACTGCAAAAATATTCACTCGTGGGATGTGGGCATCACTGGCTGGCCAGCATTTATTGCCCATCCCTAGTTACCCTTGAGAAGGTGGTGGTGAGCTGTCTTCTCGAACCACTGAAGTCCATGTGCTGTGGGTTGACCCATAATGCTGGTAAGGAAGGAGTTTCTGGATTTTGACCCAGAGGCAGCGAAGGCATGATGATATATTTCTAAGTCAGGATGGTGACTAGCTTGGAGGGGGACTTGCAGGGGATGGTGTTCCCATGTATCAGCTGCTCTTCACTTTCTAGATGGAAGTGGTCATGGGTTTGGAACGTATTGTCTAAGGATCTTTGAATTTCTGCCGTACATCTTGTAGCAGCAGTGTGTACGGAGTGTCGGTGGTGGAGAGAGTGGATGCTTGTGGGTGTCATGCCAGTGGAGTGGAAATTGGAATCAATTGAAATGCATATCTTCCTGACTCTGTAGTGGGGTCTCCTAGGGATCGGTATTGGGATTACTGATCTCTTTACATACACACATTTCCTAGACTTTTTAAAATATTCTCATCAATGGCAAGACCAGCCTGGGAGAGTAGTTGAGGCAGGAAACCTCACAACCTTTAAAAAATATTTGGATGAGCATTTGAAATGTCATAACATTCAAGGCGATGGACCAAGTGCTGGAAAGTAACGTTAGTGTAAATAGGTCAGCACAGACTTGATGGGCTGAAAGGTTTTGTCTGTGCTGTATGACTATGATTTGTTGCTCATTTCCTAATTACCTTAACAGAATGGTTGCTGAGGTTGTTTCAAAGGGCAGTCGAGAATCTGCCACTACACTGTCTAGAGTCTGTTGTAATTCACTGGGGGAGGGGGCTGGGAAATTGAACCACATTATTCACAGATTTTAATCAAATCACTGAATTTCCCAAGTTTTCATTAACAAGAAATCTACTGTAATCAAAATATTTGGCCAATGGCAAAAAAAAACTTAAATTGCTACCTTAATTCTATTACTTTAAACCTTTGTTTTTTAAAAAAAAAAGCCCCCATACACAAACAGACAAACAAGGAGGCAAGGATATTCTGATTATATGGGTGGGAGAAAATCAAAGAAGTGCAGTTCTGAATCCAGATCACGGGCATCGGAGATGTTTTCTTTTGGTTCCTTCCAATTCTTTGAGATGAAGTTCTTTGCATACCAATGCTGTCTTTCATTCGCTGGTTGAGAATCTACCCCATTCAGGGTCTCTGAGCGTTTTTTTTTCTCCTTTTTCCTTTCAGTAGGAAAACTGCAAAGCATGCAGTTTGCAAGGAAATCAATTGAGAACAACTCAGCTTTTCTGTTTTTTTTCTCCTCGAATTCTGAGGAAGGTCACTCAATCTGAAACGTTAACTCTGATTTCTCTCTGCAGATGCTGCCAGACCTGCTGAGCTTTTCCAGCAGTTTCTATTTTTGGCTGATGGAGTGAAAAAGAGATTGAAATGCTTCCCCTTCTGACTGCATTGCCCACATACAAGATTTTATGCCAAAAACCAACAATATGGATGAGCCCACAACAAATGCTGAATTGAAAACAACGATCAGAGGCATGTCTCTGCGCAAAATTACCATGGAAATATATGCACGCATGCACACGCCCTCCCCCACCATGAAGATGGCAAAGTGTGCATTGTATCCACAAATCAGTTGCAGTCACTCATCTTAACATTCAACATGTTGCACAGTTTCTTTGCTTAAAAGCAAAACCCTTTCCCATCTTTTAGTTCACTTTCCAAACTAGTGGTTGTTAAAATCACATGTTAGCCAGAACAAGAAAGGAGGGCAGAATTCCCTCCCAAATGACTCAAGGTTTTCAACAATCCCATTAGTAACAGGCCCTTGGCTGCTTCAGATTCTGGATTGGTTTATTGTATTTACATTCCCAGTCACTTTGGTGGGATTTACACTTGTGTCTTTGGATCATTCAGGCCTCTGTGATATTGATCCAGTAACACAATCTCACTCCCCCAGGTCAACACTCGCCAAATGTAGCAGAATAAACTTTACACTTCATAAGTTTTCAGATAACAAATTTGGCAAATGACAGACTGATGAATTGGACTAATACAATTTCGCATACCTCTGTGTGGTGAGGGTCCCATACACACTGTCACTGGGGCACAGTCCCACATGCTGACCCTCACTGGGGTATGGGGTACGGGGTCCCCCACACACACTGACTGTCACTGGGTGAAAGGGTATCCCACTCACTACACAAATTGAAGTAGCAGCTGCAGTGATGGTGGTGCGTCAGTTGTAATTTTCCAAAAATTCTTCAATTCTGGAGATGTACCAGAGAATTGGAAAGCTGCCAATGTGTACCACCCTATTCAGAGGCATGGAAGCAAAAAGCAAATAACTATAGGCTGATTAGCTGAATATCTATTTTTGGACAAGTACTGGTATAAATTATTAAGCAAGTACTACCAGCACATTTCAAAAGTCACAGTCTAATCAAGCAGTGTCACCCTGGCTTTGTGACAGTGAAATTGTCTGACTATTACTGTCTTAAGAAAGTCCCAGAGTGGATAGATGGGAACCAGTAGATGTGTTGTATTTGGCCTTTTAGAAGGTATTTGATGAGGTCCTTACAAAAGTGTAAGTCATAAGGTAAGAGCCCACGGTGTTGGAGGTAGTATGTTGATAGAGAATTGGCCAACGTGGGGATAAGGTTTTTTTTCCTGGTTGGCAACTTGTAATCAGTAGGGTTCCACAGGGTTCAGTGCTTGGACTACAACTCTTTACAATATATATTAGTGACTTGGAAGAAGGAAGTGAATGCACTGTAGCCAAATTTACAACATAAAAATGGTGGAAAAGCAAGTTGCAAGAGGATGCTAGCAGTTTATAGGGAGATATTGATAGGTTAGGTAAGTTTTTTTTTAAAAAAAGAAATGGATAATATGGTAAGATGTGAAGTTGTTCATTTTGGAAGGGAGAACAAAGGAACAATAATATGTAAATGGGGAAAGCTGCAACACAAAGGAACTGGGAGAAACTTGTGCATGAAACGAAAAAACTAGCACATGGGCAGCAGGTAATCGGGAAGGTCAATGGAATGTTGGCCCTTATTTCAAGGGTTTGGACTATAAGAGTAGGGAAGGCTCACTGCAGCTGTACAAGGTGCTGGTGAGACCACGTGGAGCAGTTTTGGTCTCCTTATTGAAGGAAATATTATTTCATTGGAAGAAGTTCAGTGAATGTTCACTTGGATGATTGCTATATGGAGACACTGTCTTATTATGTGACCAGGTTAAACAGGTTTAAACTGTACTCACTGGAGTTTAGAAGAATGAGAGGTGATCTCATTGAAACATATCCGATCCTTAAATGGTTTGACAGGGTAAATACTGGGAGGATGTTTCATCAGAACATAACTAGGAGCAGGAGTAAGTAATGCTCAGCCATTTGATATGATTGAGGCTGATTGCATCTCAACCGTAACTGCTCTTTCCTGCCCTTCCACCACACTCTATGGTACTGAATTCCTCAAATTCACGAGCCTTTGAGAGAAATAATTTTTCCCCAACTGTTTTAAATCTGACCTTCCATTCTAGATTGCCTCATGAGAGAAAACATCCTTTCTGTGTACTTTGTCAATTCCCTTTAGCATCTCATATCCCTCAATTAGATTTCCTCTAATTCTTCTAAACATCAGACAGTATAGACCTAAACTGCGCAATCTGTCTCCATAAGACAAACTCCTCACTTCTGGAATCAATTGAGTGAACCTCCTCTGAACTGCCTCCAAAACGACTACATCCTTCCTCAGGTAAATCAACACAAGCACTTTGCAAAACTCCAGGTGTCATCTCCCTAATGCGTTGTACAGTTGCAGGAATGATTCCCTTTTATACTGCTACTTTCACAATAAATGCCAAAATTCCATTTACCTTCCTTTTATCTGCTGTACCTGCATACTAGTTTTGTGATTCATACACAAGGACACCCAGATCCCTCTGTACTGAAGCACTCTGAAGTTTCTCTCTGTTTAGATAACAAGTTGCCTTTTTATTGCTCTGATCAACATGAATAACCTCATTTATCCACATTAAACTTCATCTGCCAAAATTTGATTCATTCACCTAACCTACCCACGTCTATTTTGTAAATGTCTTATTTCTTCCTTGTAACTTACTTTCCTACCTATTTTAGATATTCAGTTGTCATCTGCAAATTTAACTATTGTATCTTCTATCCCTATAACTAAATCATTAATATAGACTATAAATAGTTGGGGCCTGAGGACCGAACCCTGTGGCGCTCCACTAGTTACAATTTGTCAACCAGAAAAAGACCCATTTATCCTGACTCTCTGCTTTCTGTTGGTTAGCTAATCCTCTATCCAAGCTAATAAATTGCCCCAAACTCATGTGATCTTACATTGTATATTAATCTTCTATGTGGCACCTTATCAAATGCCTTCTAGATATACTATATCTATAGTATCCCTATTATCCACCTTGCTTGTTACATCTTTGAGGAACTCTAACAAGATAGGCAATTATGCTTCATCTGACTATGCTGACTTTGGATTATGTTTGGACTTTCCACATGTCAAGTTGTTACTTCCTTAATAAAGGATTCTAACAATTTCTGAAAGACACGTTAAACTAACCGCTCTGTAGTTTCTTACTTGCTGTTTTCCTTTTTTGAACAAGGGTGTTATTAACATTTTTCAATCCACTTGGATCCTGCATTCTGGAAATTTTGGATTAGTATCAATGGATCCACTATCTCTGCTGCCACTTAAGACCTTAGGAATTAAGCCATCAGACCGTGGAATTTTGTCTGCCTTCATTTATTTGCTCAGTACATTTTCCCTAGTGGTAATTATTGTTCTAAGTTCCTCCCTTTGTATAACCTCTACATAACCTGGACTACATATTTTAGTTGGAAGCCATTGAGTATCCCCTTAACATCTGTCATTGCTCATCAACTGTCCTACCTTTGTCTGTGCCCAGTCAACTAGGGCCAGATAAGGGATGATATATGAACCAAGGTTAACAAATTTATGGGTTGAGCTTAGGAATGAAAAAGGGACAGTCACTGTGAAAAGTATACTACAGACCCCCCAAATAGGAAGATACAAGACCACTTATGTAGACAAATTTCTGCATGTAGGAACAAGAGGATAATAATAGTAGGCGACTTTATACCAGTATTAACTGGGTTACATAATAAGGGGTGTTAAGGGGGAGAAATCCACTTCCTGTGTCCAGGAAAATTTTTAAATAATATGTGACAATGAGAGGAGGCGCAATACTAGATTTATAGAGTCATAAAGTTTTACAGCATGGAAACAGACCCTTCAATCCATCTCCTCCATGCCAACCAGTTTTCCCAATCTAAATTAGTCCCATTTGACTGTGTTTAGCCCATATCCCTCAAACTTTCTAGAACATAGAACAGTACAGCACAGTACAGGTGCTCTGGCCCACGATGTTGTGCTGACCTATTATCCAACTAAGATCAATCTACCCTACATACCCTACATTTTATTATCCTCCATGTGCCTATCCAAGACTCGCTTAAAAGTCTCTTCTAGTTCATTTACCGGTCCAAATTTCTTTTAAATGCTGTAACTGTACTTGCAACTACTGCTTCCTCTGGTAGTTCATTCCACACATGAAGCACTCTGTGCCCCTTGTGTCCTGTTTAAAACTTTCTCCCCTCACCTTAAAAATATGCTGCCTTATTTTGAACCCCCCTGCCCTAGGGAAAAGACCTTTGCTATTCACCTTATCTATGCCCCTCATGCCTTTATAAGCCTCTACAAGGTCGCCCCTCATGACTTTATAAGCCTTTATATTCCCAGTAACATTCTTTTCTGAACCCTGTCCAATTTAGTAATGTCCATGGGTGAAGTGACAGTGGATGACCGTATTGATAGTTACCACAATTTGGTTAGATTTAGTATTCATGTAGAAAAGGACAGAGATAAATCAGAAGGAAGAGTTTTACACTGGGCGTGGGGTGGGGAGAAATTTTTTGATAACTGAGAAGTGATTTGGCTGAGGCGGACTGGACAGGACTGCTATGGGATAAATCAATGGTAAATACTAAAAGGTGAGATCCTTATGGCATCAAACAGACATGTCCCTCCAAAAATAAGAATGGTACTACTAAATCTAGATCCTCATGGTTGTCTAGAAAAATACACAGTAAGATTGAACAGAAAAAGAAAGCTGATGATAGCTGCAAAAAAAACTCAACCCTACAAGTAGCCTGGAGGAATGTATAAAGTACAAGGATCAATTTAAAAAAATAAGGAAATCAAAGGGCATTAAAAAATATTAGCAAGTAAGACCAAGGAAAACCCAAAGATGTTTTACCAGTATATAAAGTGCAAAAGGATAGCCAAGGAAAGAGTGGGACCTACCAGAGATGAAGAAGGGAACTTGTGTAATGAGAGAGGAAGTGATCGAGGAGTTGGAATCCTCGAAAGTAGATAAGTCACTAGGGCCGAATGGATTGTTCCGTGGGATGTTGAAGGAGGTCAGCGAGGAAATAGCAGGTGCTCTGTGGATTATTTTCCAATCCTCACTAGACACGTGAGGTGCCGGGGGATTGGAGGAATGCAAATATATTATTTAAGAAGGAAATGGAAAACAATTATGGGCCTGTTAGAGTAGAAGAGGAGGTTGAGGGGGCGACATGATAGAAGTTTATAAGTTGATTGGATTGGATAGAATGGAAAGTGTGAGGCTTTTTCCCCTCGGTGGAGGGTTCAATTACTATAGGACACAGGTTTAAGGTGTGAGGGGGAGAAAGTTTAAAAGAAATGTGCGAGGCAGGATTTTCATACAAAGGGTGGTGAGTGCCTGGAATGCACTGCCAGAGGAGGTGGTGGAAGTGGATGCAATAGCAGCATTCAAGAAGCAGCTGGACAAATACAGGAATAAGAGGGTAATAGAGGGATATGGATCCTGTTAGTGAAGACAGTTTTAGTATGGAAGGGCAAAATGTGTCAGCACAAGCTTGAAGGGCCGATGGGACTGTTCCTGTGCTGATTTGTTTTTTCTTCTTTTACTTTGGTCATGGGCAAACTGTTAAAATCAATCCTGAGAGATCGGACAAACTGTTACTTGGAAAGGCATGGACTAGTCTGGGATAGTCAGCATGGCTTTGTAAGGGAAGGTCATACCTTTACAAATTTTAAATGAATTCTTTGAGGAAGTGATAAGGAGAATCGATGAGGGTGGTGGAGTGAATGTTGTCTATGTGGATTTTAGTAAGGCATTTGATAAGGTCCCACACGACCCACTGGACCAAAACATAAAAGCCCATGGGATACAGGGTAATGTGTCGAATTGGATCCAAAGTTAGCTTAGTTACAGGAAACAAAGGGTAATGGTCGATGGCTGCCCTTGCCAATGGAAAGCTGTTTCATATGATGTTCCTCAGGGCTCAGTGCTGGGACTCCTGCTCTTTGTTTTATACATGAACGATTTGGACTTGAATGCAGGGAACACAATTGGGAAATTTGCAGAAGGCACCAAAATTGGCCGCGTAATGGTTAGTGTAGAGGACAGCTGTAAGCTCCAAAATGATACAGATGGGTTAGTGGGGTGGGCAGGAAAGTGGCAGATGGAGTTTAACTGATAAGTGTGAGGTAATACTTTTAGAGAGCAAAGGGGAATATACAATAAATGGGAATTAACTGAGAGGGGGAGATGAAGTGAGAGATCTTGGTGTGAAAGTGCACATGTCCCTAAAGGTAGCAGTGCAGGTAGATAAGGTTGTAAAGAAGGCACATGGACTGCTCTCTTTCACTGGCAGAGGTATAGAATACAAAAGCAGGGATACAATGATGAAACTATAAGACACTGATGAGGCCACAACTGGAATACTGTGTGCATCTGGTCACCACATTATAGGAAGGATGTAATTGCTCTGGAGAGAGTGCAGAGACAATTTTGTTGCCAGGGCTGGGGAATTATAGCTATGAAGAGAGGTTGGGGTTCTTTTCCTTGGAACAGAGAAGGCTGAGGGGTGATATGATTGAGATATACAAAACTGTGAGGAATAGAGATAGAGTAAACAGGAGAAACCTGTTTCTCTTGGCAGAGAGTTCAAAAACCAGGGGTCACAGATTGAAGTTAAGTGGTAGAAAGATGATAGGGGATGTGAGGAAAAATGTTTTGTTTTTACACAGAGGGTGGTGGATGTCTGGAATTCAGTGCCTGAGTTAGTGATGGAGACAGAGACCCTAAACTCAAGAACAAAATGTGCCTGGATCTGCACCTTAAGTGCTGTAAGCTGCAGGGCTAGGGGCCGTGTACAGGGAGATGGAATCAGAAAGGGCTTCTGGGTGTCTTTGGGCTGGCATGGATAAGATGGGCCAAATGGCTTCCTTTTGTGTTGGATCATTTCTGTGGTTCTCTGTCCTCATGCATATGTAATTATCTTTGTTTAACTCCAGACTACCAGTGTCAACACCCAGTTTCTCAGCCTTTGTGGGAGAATCTAGGACCAGTGGGCATAGCTTCAGAATAAAGGGGCTCTGGTTTAGAAGTGTGATGAGGAGGAATATTTTCTGAGGGGCTTTGGAACACCTTGCCATGGAGAGCTGTGGCATCAGTCCTTCTGTACATTTAAGGCTAAGATAGATTCTTGAGCATTAGGGGAACCATGGCTTATGAGGAAAAGACAGGAAAACTGATGTGAGGATCAGCCATGACCCTATTGAATGGTGGAGCAGGCTTGAGGGGATGAATGGCCTACTCCTGTTCCCTTTTCAAATGGTCTTTAATTGGCAGAATAAAATACATTATTGGGTTTCCAAATGGAAGAAAGGTTCTTAGAAAGAGTGGAGTTTCAGTTCCTGGGATGGAGTCCAGCAAGCACTCAATACAAGACTCAATCTCCAGAGGAGCCCTGCCTTAGCTGCCGACCCTCTCACTTTGACGCTAACTTTGACCCTTTCCCCAATGTAGATTGCCTGTGAGAAGACGGTCTCTGCTCTTCAACACATTGTCACCCGGACGATCTCGAATGCAAAAGGTATGCTAAGGCTGGGGGTTGTTGGTCAGTGTCAAGTGGGTGGAGTTAAAAGGTACATGTAGGGGCTAACGTTTGTGTGTACATGGCCCAGAACCATTCCTGTTCCTCATTGATGTGAAGTGACTCCTTAAAACTCTTAGCTCTACAGTTTCAGGGCAGAAATGATGATAATCTCTATCCGCATACTGTCCCTGTCCTTGAACTGTTTGATGGGGAAGTCGAGGGAAGCTTTACGTAGAGTTTACTTTCAGTTTAAAAGAGTTGAAAAAGCTTTACTCTGTATCCAATCCCATGCTGTCCGACACTTCCGCCATCTGCAATCCGACCCCACCACCAAAGACATCTTTCCCTCCCCACCCTTATCTGCTTTC